TTCTTTGTCCCATCAAATTCAGATTAGTGGGCTTTGCTGGTTAGAGCATGTATTGCGCATGCCCAGCCACTCTATAACTGGCTGGTTGGAAAAACTGAAGGATATGGCGACCAACCGACAACAATGGCGTTCCTGTTGTCATTTCTAATCGGGTCAGAGTGCTTGAAAAAGTATATATGCACACTTAGGTTGTGTACTCTGTGTTGATCATAGAGCTTCACTTTTTACACCTCCCTCCAATTAAGCCCAAATACTCCCATCTTGTGCTGTATCCCTTGATTTGTGTACATTGTGAGCTTGACAGCGATCAATGAATTTCGCTTTACTATATCGCGCTGTATGATGATGCTTACTAGGAGACTGAAGTTTCTTTGACCTTCCAGGCATGATAAAATCCATTCGATGCAGCTCGTTGGGTCGTAGAGATGCACAAATCATCATTTCATGCCACGCGATGGTTATCACGCCGTTCTATATAAAACAATTCAGGAAAATTGCAGAACAGTCCACATGCTGCCACTTTTGTGCTTTTCCAATAATCGTTCTTACTGGTTGTTGATAGTATGCTTCGTTATACCTGCGACAACCAGGTAAGAGTGAAACATGTCAATCATACGGGGCGCGGTCCCTCTGCATTCTAAACATGAAGACGCGTCGCGATGTCTTCAGATGGACGCATTACAGAGGAGGCGTCGGTACGTATACATAAGGCATTTTCTAACTTGAGACATCTGGTTGTCCAGGAGGGGTTGAATGTATGTTGCTGCAGTTTGTCCGATTCTACTATCCAAATGGGAAAACAAAAGGCAGTAACCAAAACCGCCGCATGAGTGTGCACGGATAATGGTCGTACAAATGAAACTGATAACGAACGTGAAAGAAGCAAGGACATGTATGATACTTATTATTTTTATTATTACACTCAACGGTCCAAAGGGAAGCGCTGGACTCGGAGATACATCATGACACGAAGCCCTGGAAGGTGATATGCACGTTACAGATAATGGGACCAACGCGGAGAATCGAATTCCTGAGTGAACCTTCCGAGAGCATAGTCAGACGACATCACATAGAGCGTCGAATTTATAACAATCAGACTGATGGTTTTAATGCAGTACAATATAACTGAACCAACGAAAATAAAAAGGATTTCCAGTGACGATTTCTACTGGCCAAGAATCAACTTTCAATAATTGCATTTGCGTTCGGAAACCTGACTATTCAAACTTCCTCGTCAACCACAAAATTACCCCACCCGACTTCCTAGTCGATTACACCGTAAAATAAATGATAAAAAATACCTTCCTGTAATCAAAGAAACACCTGTGAAAGTGAAAAGCGTTTGTGCTGGATCTAAATTTGTATACCGACCCGTAGCGACAGCCGATAGAAAAGTGGGGGCACGATTCAATGATCAAATATTTCGCTTAATCGAAAGCCAAAAACGGCTGGAAGTGTTAGAAACCTGACAGTAATACCAAGTAAGATTGGTCAATCCGATGCAGCTTAAACGGTGCATTTGGGAGAGGACAAAGTCAGAAGAAATGAGCAAGAAAGGATAAGATTAGGGAAGTGGATTTGGAGGGGACAAATACATCGATTAGAGGTACACAAAGAATATACAATAGAAAGTGTTCACGTCGGTGGAGTCGGATGCAAAAGCGGCATTGCGACGCACGATGCCCCGAGATGATGGGACGACAAGACACTGAAATGCTGAAAAACAAAACAGTAATAATTTGAAGAACATTGCTAAGCTACTGACGGACTTCAGATTGAAACTAAGAAAACACGAACAATGCATTCGAACAATAACACAGTACGGAGAAAGACAACCTGGTGCAATACATTACTCAGATAATACGATTTAAAGTGCTGTAAGGGTAAACACTGAATCGCCTATATTGGTTAAATAATAATACATCGAGCAGTAATTTCTAATTGGATATATATATAAATAAATATAT